GGCTTGGACGGCGCACTACGAAAGACAAGCACGACCGGCCATTGAGGTCGCTCACTCGCACGCGCATCGTCGGCCGCTTGCCGCGGAGCTGCGGCAGTCCATAGCTCTGTAACTGCCGATGCAACGGCCGCAACGGTCGGCGGGCTCGTGTCGAAGATATGAAAATCCGGATTTCGAACTTCGACGAACTTCGAGTGTTAGATTGAATTACCTCAATTTAGACCAATGCCTGGTCTCCGGCCTGTGCCGTTTAAATAAAATCGACCAATGCCTGGTCTCCATTTCCGAATTATAGCCAATGCCTAGTCTCTATTCCACCCACATCCTACGAGGTAGTCCCCAACTAGGTTTCGACTGGTATGGTTCGACTACATATCGACTATAGCTTGACTACGCCAAACGAGTGCCACTAACGAGCGCCATGTGTTAATTTCCCATTGCAATCCCACGATCGAACTTCAACGTTGCATGACGGCCGTCAGTCGCCGCGCGGCGCGACAAGGGAATTGTTTGATTCCCTTGCAGCGCGGCAACCAACATACCGGTAGTGAAACCGAAGTCACATCGAGCCCCTATAGCTTGTTGGAAGAAATATGCTATAGGCGAGCGTTACGCGCGATGGATGGTGGCGTCAGGCCTCTTCAGTACGTATTGGTGTGACTCAAGGGATACAACAAGTTGGATGTGTTTCCTTGTACGACGGCTAGTACCACGAGCGAATGCGCAGTTCTTGGGCCAAGAACGGTGATCGGGACGAAGTCTTCCGACGGCATAGCATCGATTCGGTCGAAGAGGATGGGTATCCTGGGCCGCGTCGTCGTTGCAGCGTTGTTGTTGTTGAAGTGAGTCTATTGAGATATGATTGTTACTACCTGTCAACAACTATAAACTCCGAGAAGTGGTGTGCTGAGCCTCTCAGAATCTATGTCGGGGAAAGAAATTGCCTCACGGCCGTCAGTCGCCGCGCGGCGCGCGGCGACCAAGGGAGGGTATCGTGGGAACAGAGCCGGGGGCCCTTTCTGGGTGTGTTGCCTAGTCGAGCACGACAAGGACGAGGGAGCGCATCTGCACAGCGTGCGGGCGGAGGCAAGGGCGGCAGGGACTTCCGATGGCAGCGGCCGACGGTCGCGGCCATCCTGACGTCGCGGGTCTTCGCATGGTAGTCCCCAAGTCATAGTCCCCAAGGCAGAGTTGGCGCCAGACTATAAGAATGGGGTGCGTACTCAGAGATTCCCGCCGGCCGGATGCTTGGATCGCACGCGTAGGTTGAACCTTTGGTTGACCGTATCAAAACGACTAAGTGCGAGCCACTGGCCTCCCTTGCTTCCTGCACTTGCAAGGACGACGCCTGAGGATATATTAGATGCGGAGCAGGTTGCGAGCATCCACCACACAAGATGTGGGCAACTGTCGAGGCAAAAACGCAGCTCGTCTCTCTTTACAAGGTTAACGTGGTTTAATGGCGCACGAGGTTCCAGCACTGGTTCTTGTTGTACGCCGTGCAGTCCCAGACCTGTGCCTTGTGGCGGTCGTCGGTCGGGTCCGCATCGAGGCACAAGTTGGGGTGCGTCGCGTGCTTGACCAGCTTGTCTTGGAGCACCCACTTTTGGTTCGCGTTCTTGGCATCGCACGGGAACGTGTGGAGACCGAACTTGCCGTGGCCGGTCGAGAAGGCGTCGAGGCACTGGCCGTTACTGCCGACTTGCAGCGTCTGCGCGACGGGGTCGTACGCAAACTTTTCGTTGACGTTGTTGCGGACCTTGTCGGCGTAGAGGCCCGTGTCGTACTCGGAGAGCCACGAGTTGGTGTAGCACGTCTGGAAGCGGAGACCGACAGTGGCCGAGTCGTCGCAGTCGCTGAAGAACTGCTGGAGGCTCTGGTTGCACATCTCGACGCGCGCCTTCGTGCCCGCGGGACCCGACGCGACGCAGAGGCCGTGGTGCGTGCCGTGCTCGATGCGGTTGGTGTTGGCGTTGAAGATCCACTTTTGGTTGACGTTGCCCTCCATGCACTTGTACGTGTGGAGCTGGTACCGGTTGCTGCCGTCGAGGAACGCGTCGAGGCACTGGCCGTTGGACTCGGACACGAGCGTCATGGCCGACGGGTTGTAGACGAACTGCTCGTTCTTGTTGTTGCGAAGCACGTCCGAGTAAATGTCGCCGTAGTACTCGGAGAGTGCTTGGCGGTTGTACGTGCAGAAACGCAGCGCCTTGCCCGGAGTCGGCGTGATGGGCGC